GCCCCCCGGGGGGCCCCCCGGGGGGCCCCCCGAGGCGTTAGGGGCTGAGGGGGGGGCCCCCGATGGTACAATTTTCGATTTAAATAAAAAGAAAAAAGGAAAACAAAGGGGCCCCCTTTTGCCTCCAGATAGAGGAGATTTGCTCCGCAGCAGCAGCCCCAGAACCCCCAAGAATAGGCCTCAAAGCAGCAGCAGCAGCAGGAGCAGCAGCAGCAGCGAGGAGCAGCAGCAGCAGCAGCTGCTGCTGCTGGAGCGGGGGCCCCCCCCTCCCCCCCCAGTGGGGCTGTGGGGCCTCCAAGGAGACAGCTGGATAATTGGAGAAGAATTAAAAATAAAAAACAAAAAAGGACTTTTGTCTTTTTGCTTCCCGCACTCGGGGTGTACGTACACCGCAGTTCACCCGCAGCAGCAGCAGCAGCAGCAGCAGCAAACAGAACACGAACGCACGGAAGCAGCTTGGCAAGTAGTTCTGTCCAGCAGCAGCAGCAGCAGCAGCAGCAGCAGCAGACAGGGTGCTGCCTGCAGCAGTGCAAACCGCAGCAGCAGCAGCAGCAGCAGCAGCATTTGCTGCTGCTGCAGCTTGGTGCTGAAACGCGTGCCCTTTGACGGCAGCAAAAGCATGCCCACGTGGCTGCTGCGGTCCATTTGCCTTGCGCGCTACGCTGCTGCAAGCCCCTTTTGCCTCCAGCAGCAGCAGCAGCAGCAGCAGCAGCAGGAGGGTTGCTGCAGGGCTCGGCTGCTGCTGCCAGTGTACGACATGCACATAGCAGCAGATGCTGCTTACTTCGTTTTCAGCAACAGCAGCCAGTCCCTGGGGGCCTCCCTGCTGCAGAGAGGGGCCCCCTCGCCTCGCGTCCCTTGCTGCAGCTGCAGCAGCAGCAGCAGCAGCAGCAGCAGCAGCAGCGGCGGCGTGCTGGGCGGGGAGAGCGCGCGCCTGTTTTTATTTCTGCTGCTGTGCGGGCTGAAGTGCCTGAGGTGTATAGACACCTCACTGGCTCCCGTGTCTCCTTTTTCTGTCTTTTTAAATTGCTGCTGCTGCTGCTTCTCTCTCCGCCTAGCAGCGCCGCCGCTTACCCCGGACAGCCCCTCTTGCTGCTGCTGCAGCAGCAGCAGCAGCAGCAGTAGCGCGCTGCCTGAGCAGCAGCAGCAGCAGCAGCAGCAGCGGCCGCTGCCAGAGCAGCAGCAGCAAAAAGAGCACCAGGAGCAGCAGCAGCAGCAGCAGCAACAGCAGCAGCAGCAGCTGCTGCTGCAGCAGCTGCCAGTGAGCTGCTGGCTGCCGCCGGAGTGCCGGCTCGGGGTCTGCTGCAGCTGTGGGGCGAGCAGCAGCTTAAGTGCTGCTTCAAATTGTCCTTTTAATTATTCTTTTTTTTCATTTTCTCGACTTCTTTCGAATTGCTGCTGTGCTGCTGCTGCTGCTGCTTGGCCAAGCTCAAGAGAAGACGAGGAAGCTGCTGTTGTCTGGGGCGTCGGGATCTGTTTTGCTGCATACTTGCTGCTGCTGCAGCAGCAGCAGCAACAGAAGCAGCAAGGCAAACAGCAGCAGCAGCAGCACCAGCAGCAGCAGCAGCACAAACAACAGCCGCCAAAGCAAAAACAGCAGCAGCAGGAGCAAGAACAGCAGCAGCAGCAACAACAACCAAAACAACAGGAGCAACAGCAAAAACAGCAGCAGCAGCAGCAGCACAAAAAGCAGCAGCAGCAGCAACAAAAGCAGCAGCAGGAGGTAAGGGAAAGTGTGAAGCGTGAGGCTTTTTGCGATGGGTGGCGCTCTAGGGGGCGGCCGTCTGTTGACACAGCAGCAGCAGCAGCAACAGCAGCACCAACAGCAGCAGCAGCAGCAGCAGCAGCAGATTCTGAACTGTTCGGCGCGGACGACACTGCTGCTATAAGGAGGCGGCGCAGCTGCGTCGCTGCTGGCAATTTGCTGCAGCCGCCGCAGCAGCAGCAGGACGCTGCAGCAGCAGCAGCAGCAGCAGCAGCAGCAGCAGCTCAGTCGTTTGTGTCTGGCTGCGATGAAGCAGCAGCAGGAGACGCGTGCCGCGTGTCCAATTTGCTGCTGTCTGCTGCAGCAGCAGGAGCAGCACCGTTTATGGCTTTCGAGCCCAACGGCAGCATCAGCAGCAGCAGCATT